TATTTTTTGTGGTGTACCATTCATCGGTGTTTGAATCAGTATTGTAATCAATAATCAGTATTGTTCAATCAGTATTGTTCAATTTAGTGTTATACATATGTTATCATATTCAAACAGTATGTTTCGTTCTAATGTCACAAGTCATAATCTCAAGTTTACTGGGTTTTACACGATTTGATTATTTTGTGTGGGTTTACACAGTGTACTTTCACATTTTCACGTGTCCTCCAAAATGACCCACAGCCTTATCAGTTTATATATGTGAAGAAATCCATTTATTCATAAACTTCTCACAAAATTATTGTTTGAAAAACGACTTGGCAAACTTTCTCCGCTGCTCTCTGATGGTTTGGAGAACAATTACTCCGAGTCGCCCCCTGTCGTTTCACAGAATTATACAATGGCGAGCGCATCAAGTATAAAAGCCTCGTCCATTTAGGGAGGAGCGGGCAGTCAGCAGGTTCGTGGAGTAGAGCCAGTCGAAAGTATAAACAAGGCTTCAACTGCACAAAACGCTTCCACTACGACAGAAATCGGGAGCTGGGCGGTGATTCCACCGCTTGCCGCGTCCCGTGTGAAAAGACCTTTAAGTCAAAAGTGTAGAACTACTTGTCAGCGTTCCACTTTGCACCAAGTACATCACTTTCTATTGCTCATTCATTCATGCTTTTCCACTCCAACGTTCCAATAATTCCTGCCTACTAAAAGCTGCATGGATATATTCGCTTACCCCGATAGGCCTGTCTATGTAAACGATTTAGAAAAGTTCAGTCGATTCACACTTTATATCATTGCCACGATATGTATTGTCATATCACCCAGGCCTAACATGCAGTAATGCTTTATACACATTTGTGACCGGCCTCGCCCCCTTTGTTGCCTTTTCCCGAGGGCGGGGTTTATCTGGGTTTGTGATGTCACAAACCCGGGAAGTAACTCGTTGTAGTCTCTATACCAGGCGTTTTTGTAGGCATTAAACTGCCAGAATTTTAAAAGACAGATATCTCCGTTTGCATTGTACTTTCAGCTTCGTAACTTTGCAGATATTGTTTATGCTCAAACAGCAACATTACAAACTAACATTAAAAAAGTGAAATCGCAATGAACCACCCCTTTAAGTCAAAAGTGTATGTCTACTTGTCTGAGTTCCACTTCGTCTTGGAGTGTGCGCACAAAAAACTGCCTGCCAACGTGTGAGTGTGAATTTGAATTTGCTTTCGCGGCATACTGCACTTATAATAAAAAACAACAACCAATTAACTATCAAAACTGATTGGCTAACGCTATTTTTTTCCTTTGCTGGTGCTCTTTTATTCTTTCATGTTAACTGAAGGCAAATGATGCACTATTTTAACTTTAATCAACAAGTACAATTGACATGACATCCTCACCTTCTCTTATTCCAGAAAAGTCCCTCACCCAATGCTGAATGGAGTTGTACAGCTGCAGCTCACATGCATGAATGTTGAGGTTGGGGGGAGGGGCGTGTCTGAACTAGTTGATACACAAAATCAGCAACCTGATAAAGAGGTTGACTGGCACAGAGTATTTTATGTATTTTGAAAATACAAAAATACTCATCTTAAATGTTTTTAAATACAAATTACATCTGACTTTTTCCAAAGGCTTTAAAATACAAAATAGTATTTTGTATTTCAAATACGTATTTTAAATACATGTATCTGAAATACTGCCCATCCCTGCGTGTACAGATGTTTTTGACCCCTTGGGTTACTGACAATACTCAACAAACAGATCAAAACCTGTGAAAGAGGAAGCACATAGTGGAAGGGTAGGGCTAATAGATGTCTTGGGTAAAGAGGGTCTGCGGACTCTGATCTGTGAGACCTCAATGTGTAAATTATGTGTAAATTATGTGTAATCGTACCCACGACAATACGAGAGAAACAGCTGGACATGCAGTAGACATATGTATAACTCCAACTGCCTGTCTCATCTTGTTCAGCATTCCCCAGCTTTTGGACACACCAGTGAAATACAATCAGCATAATATGCTGTGATGCAGCTGTTACCAAACTGTAGTCCCCATATGCAGCAAATATGAAGGAGTTTATGGACCATGAGAGAGATTAACTGGAAAAAGTAGAATACACTGCCAAAAGATCTTTTCCAGTACAAATATCTAAATATTCTTAAATCAAGATATATTTACTTGAGAAGCAAATTATTTATTTTCTTTTCTATAAATAAATAAATAAAAGTTTTTAAATTAAAAAGTTTTTGCTTACAACGAGACAAAATATCTGCCAATGTAGTAAGAAACATGAATTTAAGAGGGTCTGCGGACTCTGATCTGTGAGACCTCAATGTGTAAATTTTGTGTAAATTATGTGTAATCGTACCCACGACAATACGAGAGAAACAGCTGGACATGCAGTAGACATATGTATAACTCCAACTGCCTGTCTCATCTTGTTCAGCATTCCCCAGCTTTTGGACACACCAGTGAAATACAATCAGCATAATATGCTGTGATGCAGCTGTTACCAAACTGTAGTCCCCATATGCAGCAAATATGAAGGAGTTTATGGACCATGAGAGAGATTAACTGGAAAAAGTAAAATACACTGCCAAAAGATCTTTTCCAGTACAAATATCTACTTGAGAAGTAAATTATTTATTTTATTTTCTATAAATAAATAAATAAAAGTTTTTAAATTAAAAAGTTTTGCTTACAACGTGACAAAATATCTGCCAATGTAGTAAGAAACATGAATTTGTTTTCCCTTTGAATTAAGGTCATTGGCAGATATTTAGGTTGAAATTTTAAAGTATGCACACTTAGATGTACTTACAGTGTACTTACTTAAGAAAGTAATTAGGTTAAGGTTAAGGGTTAAGGTTAAGTTTAGGGGTAGGTTTGTGGTTAGTACCTTACCCAGTTATTGTAATTACCATAATAAGTACAAGGTACATGTGGAACAGGACTGTAAAATAAAGTGCTACCGATATTTTTTCTTGTTTTAAGCATAAACGTAATTCTGGTATTTTTAAATATATCTTAAGTCATAATACTTCCTAAGTAAATGTATACAAATTTAAAAATGTTTAGATATTTGTACTGGAAAACCGATACAAATTCTAAAAATCCAGAACAAATAAATAAATAAATATGACTAAAAAGTTTTGTGTAAACTTAACTTTAGAATCACAGTTTTCATGATTCTTGTCCTCTGTCAGCTGTCACAATTCAATATGCAAAATTAAAGTCAATGGGAGATTTTCTTTTTTGTTTATATTTTTCTTTATATAACTTTATATGCTTATATATATATTTATTTAACATTTAAGTTCACAATAACCACAACCAAATCTAATCCTAAAACAAATAAAGAAATTAAATTATCTGCAAAACAACATTTAAATGGAGTTTGTAGGTGGTTCAGGCTGAATTAATTGCAGCAAATGGTGGAGAATAAGAAGGAAATAGCATTTAAGGAATATCAATATGACTATATTGTCTTGCAAGCACTTTAATTAACGTATTAACATCAAAATATCTCAGGGGTTTATGGGTAATTGGAGACTAGGAACCTGTGGACACCTAGAGAGATGGAATAATAATGTCATTTCTTTCTTTCTGTAGGTTGGGCTGGTGTTTGGCTCTAAGCTGGAGCGGGCCATAGACGATGAGTGTGAGTCGGGCAGTTTCACTCAAGATGGGGAGTGCTGTGTGCTGTGTCCTCCAGGAGAGGGAGTGGTCAAGGAGTGTGGGGCCACCCAGACCGAATGTGGTCAATGCTTAGACAGTGAGTACAACTTCTCATATACACAAACAGTACTCACATGCAAACCCACTTAAATGCATGTAGGTCATGACATAGAAGTGTTCATGCACACGCATACTTCATGTACTCATAATCTTCCATGCTTATGCACACACAAATATTCACACCATCACAAACACTTACTTTCACACAAATAAATTTATTAACACGTAATTAGTCTCTCACACGTACACACGTATACTTATTAACACATAATTCTGTTCTCTTGCTCCCTCACACACTCACACACGCGCACATATATACTCAAAGAACAGGCAGAAAGCTGAGAGTAATTATGCAATTAGCTGGTTACGGTATATGAGCTGCTGTGTGTGTGTGTGTTTGATGCATTAATTTAGGCCAAATGTTCAGCTTCATAGTCTGTGAGGAAAACCAGAAGGAGAGTAACAGAGGAAAACAGGATGTGATAGATGGAAACAAATTGAAAGACACACAATGTTGCCATCACCACAATCTTTATATGAGAAAAAGAAATTACTTACCTTTAACAGTTTTTCTAAAGAAACATTGTCCAACAGCGACACCAGCAGGTAAAGTAACAGTGGGAGTAACAGTCTCTCACGCCTCCCCTGAGCCCATTGAGTTTTAACAGACCCCCTAAAGCATGTGGTGGGTTTGGTGGGGGGTAATTGAGAATGAATGGGGAAAATCATGTGAGAGGAGGCTCCATCGAGATATGATTGGATATGACTGGTTATGTTCGGCTGTGATTGGTTCACGCGATAATAAAATATATTGTTTAAATTGTTACTTCCTTGAGTTATTATTTTGAAATAAATGTAAAGTACTTAAAAACACTAACTTGATGAGATTCATACTTGACTTTAATAAATAGAATATTGATTACATTGTTAATGTAAAAATATAAAATATATATATTTTTCTTTTTCTGATAGTGTAAGTTTATTTAACCAAGAAAATGTGACTGTATGTACATTTGATTAAAAAAAAAACTATCTATCTATATATACACATACAGACAAGGCAAGGGAGGCAGTGTACAAAAAATCGTAGTACAAAAATAAAATGCCAATATTACAAAATATAACATTAAAAAGTGTAGATAGATAGACAGATAGATATTGAGAAAAATATAGAGATATTATTTAGCTATATTGCTAGGCCAGCCGTAGTTGGGCAACAAATGGACTGATGTTTAAATTCTCCGCTGCAGAACGAGGTCATATCCATCCATTAATAAATAATGAAGGAGAAAACGAGAGAACAAACAGATGGGCTGAAAGTGTTGTTCGGCTGAATTGACACTTTCACAGTTCACCGTGGCCTGCATCACATGACCCATATGTTTACCCATCATTCCCCTCTTCTCTCGTAGAGCACTGGAGACCAGTCTGCTCTTTGCTCTTAGAAAGAACATCATTTAATGAGTGTGTCTGTGTGTGTGTAAATGAGGGGGGTACACAGTGATATGGAGAATTGGCACATTATGTGTAAGGCGCTTAGGAGCATTTTGTACCCACAACATCAAAGCTAACTAATGAAGATTAAATTGTCATCCTTTAATCTGGGAATGAATATAAGTGGTTATATTTGAATTAAGCATAATTTAAAAACAGCATTATCGCTGCATCAGCAATCTCACGTTTGTCAGCACAACATGTTTGGGCAGTTGTTTTTGCATGTCTCAGATGCCTTGATCAAGGTAACCAAGTCATTTACCTTAACATCACCTGCATAACAAGAGCAAACATGACAAGAACGGCAAGTGTTTCAAGGTGTGCTTCTGTCCAAAGTATAGCAGATAGGTATACACCTCACCCTCAGGCCAACCTTAGGCGTGAACACATCTGTCTGCCCAGTGTCAAATCCTTCCAGCTTCAAACAGACCTGGGCTGCATTTCCCAAAAGCATCGTAAACCTAAGTAGATCGTAGATCCATTGCCACCAATGGTCTCTACGATCGACTTATTTCATGATGCTTTTGTGAAACGCAGCCCTGGTGGTAAAAGAATATGCCACACTTTGCTCATAAGTCTGAAATTATACCTCAGAGATGAACTCATCAAATTTTTCCATAAACAAATTATCTTGGCTATGCTGGGCTATAATATTATAACTCTTACTGCATTTAAAAACATGTCTTATTTGTAATAAACTAGGACAAATATCTCAGACAAAGTTAAGACTATAAAAGCAATAATTATTTATCACACTCATGTCATTCCATGCCCATATGCGACCAAATCAATCAAGAGTTGAACCTGAGAATAGCATCAGTCTGATTTCACTGAAAAGAACCGACTCAAAAGACTGATTTGTTCAAGTTCAGCAGCTGTAGAAATGATTTATTTTCAGTAAACAAAGATTACTCTAGTACAATTTACAAGAAAATACTGTTTCAGTCTTTCTACTTCAAAATTCCATTTCTTTGTAATGAATTGTGAAATTTACAATCGATCTCTGAGTGAAAACTATTTCTACACCATTTTTTAAATTAATGAGTTCAATTTGAAACATCATGAGGTCATGAGTAAATGACAGATTTTTTTAAGTGTCCTGAGCTATGGACGAGGAACCTCTGAGCGATAAAATATTCCTCTGGATCAGTGTGGAAAACAGCTGTGGGACTGTTTTTGTTTCATGTTTGTGGTGTTTGATGAAAAGCTGTCCTGTGTTCCAGGAATACAAGAACATTTCCAGCAGAGATCTCTCTGTATGTTTTTCTGCCTATCTCTCTTGGATTGTTTGTTTATTTATCACCATGAGAATAAAGGAACAGGGACACACATGAGAGACACATGCAGGAGAGATTAGAAACCCTTGTGCTTGTGTGAATACCTCAGCTTGATAATATCTTACACTTACTGCATGTTGGACCAGTCTAAAGTCATTTCTAAACAGGATGTGGAGAATCATTTTCTTTATCAGATATTATCACCCTGTAGCGAATCAGCTCATGGGGAAATATGAATAATTAATCATAACTAGTTATAATTAATTATAAATATTTAGATCCGCTGTAGATATTTACTTGACCTCTCAGGGTCAACTTTGATTTGTTAAATCAAATGAAAAATGGCGTGTCTGATTGGTCCAGACGCTACAACCCTCAGACAAATATGACTGGTTTATTTGGTGTTAACTTGTAGAATCCACCTTTAAGTGTTTATATGGAAATAAAAGAGTTTCATTCTTGCTGTGCTGAAACAAATATTATGTTTTTGCCCTTTCAACCTGTGACGTCCTGTTCACATTCCTTTGCTTTCTGTTGTAAGATCTTGGCTGTAATATAAAAAAGGAGCTGATAGTCCAATCTAATAGTTCAGATTTATCTGTCATATCCTTTTATGGTAATGATATATTATCTGCAGGACATAAATTGGTCTGAACAGGTTTCAAATTTCATTGCTTTGTGCAACATGGAGAATGAATACTTGACCTTCTGTTTCCACACGCTAGCCCAGAGGAACATGTTTTTGCTCAGAGAGGCTTCTCAGTTATGTTTCATGTAATTATCAGCTTTGTCTCAAATGTTTCTCCTAGAATTCTTTAGGAGATCATAGGTCTTGGAAAATTGAATGAGAAATGTTCATGCCAAAATCTGACTTTTGATTACACACTATAGTTGCAAATCTAAACTTAGAGACAAAGGTCTCTAAATTTAATTGTATTACTGTCTAGCAGAAACAAAGGTATCTCATTTGTCCTTTTTCTTTCGTATGAGGACTGTTAAGGTCAATTCACACAAAAGACGCAGACCAACGCTGACAGCCGACAGAGTACAGTACATAATTTCTCAGACATTCCAAGATCCAACAAACACTGATTCAACACGTTTAATCGGTGAAAACAAGCGCCGACCAATGGCAAAAGACACCAACAGGTGTAACACACTGGTAAGACAAAACCAGGTATAGTGTGAATTGGCCTTTAAAGAGGAAGTTACTTGTCAGCGGTGTTGGGAGACAGCCAGAGACCCCCATATGCCCAAGCAAGAGCTGCCATGGCCTTGATCAGGCATTTAAAGCCCCGTTCAGACTACACGATTTTAGCCCGATTTTGCCACGATCTGCTTGACGTAGGGTGTCGTGGGGATTCGTATACGACAATGGGCGTTGGGACGCACGATTCAATCGTTTCATCTCGTGTAGTGTGTCATAGTGCACAACGCCTCTGCGATGCTTTACGACGTCAACACAGAAAGACTAGCATGTTTAATTTTTTTTCCCATCGTACATGACAAGTTCCATCACAGCTATGACACTGGCCAATAGGAGCACAGAAGCGCCTTTGTACAAGCTTTAAAACATGCCGAAACGAAAGGGAGACAATGGTATCGGTCCTGCTAGGTGTAATTTTACAATAGAGGAAAATGTTCGTGGAGCTACGGCAACAATACTCCTGTATTTATGATGAGGGCCTACCGCGACACAGTGAAAAAAGGTAAAATAAAAACTATTTTACCTCAGTTCTCTTTGACAGTCCATAGCATCCTCTTCATGCCATCCAGATTTGTGTCCATTGTCAGGTTTTCTTTCTTTTTTGGGCTTTTCTGATGACAAGACAGGGCAAAACACACTGTTTGCTAGCCATTGTTTGTTTACGCTCATAGCACCTTCTGTCTTGTCTTGCGCTATTGATGACAGCAGGCACGTTGTTAATGACGGCATGCGATGAATGGTCGGGTAGCATTGTATAGTCTGACATGTTTCTTGTTCACGACACGACAAGATTTTATGAATCAAAATCGCATAATCTGACACAGTGATTGTCGTAACCGACAAAAAAATCGTGTAGTCTGAACGGGGCGTAAAACAACTTGGTTTATAGAAGATCATCAAGCATAAACCACTTCCTCTTTCCTGTGAAAACAAACCAAACCAAACCAAACCAACACATTCTTATCGTCCTCTCAATCTTGCTTTCACCTTTCCTGTTATCAGAGTGACACAAGATCTAGGGAACGATATTCAAATCCAAAATTTGCAGGGATTACATTACAAACCCTTAGAACTCCACGTCATCAAAAATGCCTGTCACGCATGTTTTTTTTTGTCCTACAGTAAAACTGAATTCACCGGAAGCCTCACCACACACAAACCCTCTGAATAATTTAAAGCTTTCCAAATAATTTTTCATCCCAATGTTTTATTTTTATATGACATCTCAAACTCACATATAGGAAAACCTCCTCTTAAGAAAAGCTCTTATTGTGTAATAAAGGTAAACACCAAAAGGTAAAACATTACGTCAGGGCTGAATTTAGCCATTATAGATGCTGTCCTGCAAGTCTAGAAACTTTCAAAAACAAAGTTTAATTTCTTGGAATGATGGCAGAAGACAGAAGACAAAAAGGAAAGAGGACATATAAAAAGTCATATCATGTTCATCACAATGAATCTGAACCATGACATGGCAGTTAACACTCATTATTTTTGATGATTATTTGTCTAATGCAAGTTTGAATCAGTCTGTCATTTGTTGATCCTGTTCTCTCCATCACTTCCTGTTGTCTCTCTATTGTCTATACATTTTATAATACCTGGAGAAAACTATCTGTTAGCAGTGCCATTTATATCAAAGCTCGACTGCTGTAGAAAAACTGGGAAATACGTAACTCATGGAAATCACAGCTTTTTGAGCCAATCATCTGAGCCATGAATGCCATGTGTCTAATTGTGACTAATCACTCTGCTAAAAAAATGATATTGTGACAACACTGATTGATTGAAGACACAAGAACGCATACAGTCCCAAACCCTTCACTAGAGCTGCGACTGTCATCTATAATATGAAACATAATGCTGCTCAGAAAGAAAGTCAGAAAAGTCAGAAAAGTCTACTATTTTGAATGGCCTTCTATGGACCCTTTTCACATTTCCAGGGTTCATAGAAGCGGAAGTCATCATTTAATGTGGTGAATGAAACCTACAAGAAATATAAACTTTGCATTCCCATTAGCCCCAATAGCAAAAAAAAACATTGACAATAGCATTTCCATGACTTCCAGAAGTAGAAAAAAAATATTGAGAGATTTTTGGTCAGAAGAGCGAAAGATGTCAAATTTCCCATCACTGCCTTAGCCATTGTGTTAGAAAGACGCTGTAGCATCGTTAACTAGTTTTCTATAATTGAATGCAGAGATAATAAATCACAAATTATAGTGTCATAGATGTACATAATTTTTTTAAAATTGAAAATCTAAAAAAAGTTTGCTAGATGTTAACGTCAATGTCACAATGTTAATAGCTGTTGAAACATGTCATCACCATCTGTGAAAAGGGTCCATTTAGAAAGACGCTCTTTGCAGCCAAAGTGTGTATTTATGACATCTACCAGCAGGGGCTAATGGGACGATGCTACAGGTGTGGACAAACATTGGTCTCACCTTTGGACTGCACAGCTATTCTGAAATCTGAAGTCTGTTTCATGTTGGGTCTGTGAGCAACTAAATTCAGATGCATTACATATACAGAAATGCCGAGTAGACTTGTGTTTTGACTGCAGAAATCATTGCCATACTGAAATGAAAACATACAGATCTCTATAACACAATCTAGCACACCATTCCTTTCCTTAATTACTAATTTTCCCACTTTGTCTTTTTTCACAGGTCTCCCCTCCTCCTGTAGTGTCTTATTATTACTATCATAACTGATTAATTATAATTAAAGCACTAAGGTTGCAATAATTTAAAGGGATAGTTCACCCAAAAATGAAAATTCTGTCATCATTTACTCACCCTCATGTCGTTCCAAACCTGTATGAGTTGCTTTCTTATGTTGAACATAAAAGAAGATATTTTGAAGATTGCTGGTAATCAAACAGTTGGTGGTTGCCATTGACTTCCATTGTATTTTTTTTTCCTACTATGGAAGTCAATGGCAAAATATTCAAAATATCTTCTTTTATGTTCGACATAAGAAAGCAACTCATAGGGTGAATAAATTATGACAGAATTTTCATTTTTGGGTGAACTATCCCTTTAACCTGAGGGGTCATTATTAACAGCAGACGGGCAGATTTAAATTATCTTGTCGTTCTGATGATTTTTCTCTGTATCTTTTTCTCCAGGTGAGACATTCTCTGAGACGTTCAGTCACACAGAGAGGTGTCAGACTTGCAGAGAATGCACGGGTCTTATGCGCATGCAGACCCCCTGCACCGACTCGAACGACGCTGTGTGTGTGTGCAACTATGGCTACTTCATGAGCGAACTGACAAGCCAGTGCGAGCCGTGCACTGTGTGTCCACGCGGTCAGGGTGTGCTGATGCGCTGCGAGCACTCCCACGACACGGTCTGTGAGGAGTGTCTGGACGACACCTACTCTGATCAGGATAGCACGCTGGACCCCTGCCTGCCCTGCACCATCTGCGAGGAGGGAATAGAGATTCTCATGAGGAACTAGCTTTCCAAATAATTTTTCATCCCAATGTTTTATTTTTATATGACATCTCAAACTCACATATAGGAAAACCTCCTCTTAAGAAAAGCTCTTATTGTGTAATAAAGGTAAACACCAAAAGGTAAAACATTACGTCAGGGCTGAATTTAGCCATTATAGATGCTGTCCTGCAAGTCTAGAAACTTTCAAAAACAAAGTTTAATTTCTTGGAATGATGGCAGAAGACAGAAGACAAAAAGGAAAGAGGACATATAAAAAGTCATATCATGTTCATCACAATGAATCTGAACCATGACATGGCAGTTAACACTCATTATTTTTGATGATTATTTGTCTAATGCAAGTTTGAATCAGTCTGTCATTTGTTGATCCTGTTCTCTCCATCACTTCCTGTTGTCTCTCTATTGTCTATACATTTTATAATACCTGGAGAAAACTATCTGTTAGCAGTGCCATTTATATCAAAGCTCGACTGCTGTAGAAAAACTGGGAAATACGTAACTCATGGAAATCACAGCTTTTTGAGCCAATCATCTGAGCCATGAATGCCATGTGTCTAATTGTGACTAATCACTCTGCTAAAAAAATGATATTGTGACAACACTGATTGATTGAAGACACAAGAACGCATACAGTCCCAAACCCTTCACTAGAGCTGCGACTGTCATCTATAATATGAAACATAATGCTGCTCAGAAAGAAAGTCAGAAAAGTCAGAAAAGTCTACTATTTTGAATGGCCTTCTATGGACCCTTTTCACATTTCCAGGGTTCATAGAAGCGGAAGTCATCATTTAATGTGGTGAATGAAACCTACAAGAAATATAAACTTTGCATTCCCATTAGCCCCAATAGCAAAAAAAAACATTGACAATAGCATTTCCATGACTTCCAGAAGTAGAAAAAAAATATTGAGAGATTTTTGGTCAGAAGAGCGAAAGATGTCAAATTTCCCATCACTGCCTTAGCCATTGTGTTAGAAAGACGCTGTAGCATCGTTAACTAGTTTTCTATAATTGAATGCAGAGATAATAAATCACAAATTATAGTGTCATAGATGTACATAATTTTTTTAAAATTGAAAATCTAAAAAAAGTTTGCTAGATGTTAACGTCAATGTCACAATGTTAATAGCTGTTGAAACATGTCATCACCATCTGTGAAAAGGGTCCATTTAGAAAGACGCTCTTTGCAGCCAAAGTGTGTATTTATGACATCTACCAGCAGGGGCTAATGGGACGATGCTACAGGTGTGGACAAACATTGGTCTCACCTTTGGACTGCACAGCTATTCTGAAATCTGAAGTCTGTTTCATGTTGGGTCTGTGAGCAACTAAATTCAGATGCATTACATATACAGAAATGCCGAGTAGACTTGTGTTTTGACTGCAGAAATCATTGCCATACTGAAATGAAAACATACAGATCTCTATAACACAATCTAGCACACCATTCCTTTCCTTAATTACTAATTTTCCCACTTTGTCTTTTTTCACAGGTCTCCCCTCCTCCTGTAGTGTCTTATTATTACTATCATAACTGATTAATTATAATTAAAGCACTAAGGTTGCAATAATTTAAAGGGATAGTTCACCCAAAAATGAAAATTCTGTCATCATTTACTCACCCTCATGTCGTTCCAAACCTGTATGAGTTGCTTTCTTATGTTGAACATAAAAGAAGATATTTTGAAGATTGCTGGTAATCAAACAGTTGGTGGTTGCCATTGACTTCCATTGTATTTTTTTTTCCTACTATGGAAGTCAATGGCAAAATATTCAAAATATCTTCTTTTATGTTCGACATAAGAAAGCAACTCATAGGGTGAATAAATTATGACAGAATTTTCATTTTTGGGTGAACTATCCCTTTAACCTGAGGGGTCATTATTAACAGCAGACGGGCAGATTTAAATTATCTTGTCGTTCTGATGATTTTTCTCTGTATCTTTTTCTCCAGGTGAGACATTCTCTGAGACGTTCAGTCACACAGAGAGGTGTCAGACTTGCAGAGAATGCACGGGTCTTATGCGCATGCAGACCCCCTGCACCGACTCGAACGACGCTGTGTGTGTGTGCAACTATGGCTACTTCATGAGCGAACTGACAAGCCAGTGCGAGCCGTGCACTGTGTGTCCACGCGGTCAGGGTGTGCTGATGCGCTGCGAGCACTCCCACGACACGGTCTGTGAGGAGTGTCTGGACGACACCTACTCTGATCAGGATAGCACGCTGGACCCCTGCCTGCCCTGCACCATCTGCGAGGAGGGAATAGAGATTCTCATGAGGAACTGCACACCCTATGAAGATGCATGGTGTCATGGTGAGAGAATAATACTCTCAAGAATATCACATGTAACCACAATAAAAATTTAAATCAAATAATAGCATAAAAATGTAAAATAAATAAATACATAGAAGAAAAAATTATAAAATTTATAAAAATATAAAAAATGATAGAACTATAGTTTATATATGGTTTGTTACAAACATAAGGAAAAGAAAAAAAGTGTAAATAATAGGTATATGATTAAAAAAAAAAAAATTATTTTCCCGTGTTTGTCATATACTATATTTCTGCTTCATTTTTCAGTTTACTTCTGCAGTTTTTTCCCCCCTGCATATTTAAGTTGCTCACAAAGTGTGCATTTGTAGTATTTGTAGCCTGTGGTCAATCACTATGGGCAACTGCACGAACACCACAAGCAACTTGTTTGGCTGTATATGACATGATTGAGCCTGATCACTCTCACACTGTTACTAACAGCTAATTTCTCTCAGTCTCAGTCATAATGTTTGCTTTCCTCCATGTGTTGGAGGATCAATCTGGGTCATTTCCGTATGTGTCTGCTGGTGGCCTTGCAGTGAAAAGGTCAAAGTGTGGATATTCTGTGCAAAGCCCTGTAGTTATAGAGGTCACAACAGTCCAAAAGGTCAAATCCAGTGACACATGCAAACACACACACACACACACACACGTACACATGCAGACCTTTGGGGTTTCCAAGATGTATAAAAGTAGGCATGTGGATCACAGTGATTTTACAACAGGTAATAGATGTTCTTATACCTCCTTGAAAGAGTGACAGATCACTGTAAACCTCAATTGGCTTTACACCTTTTATAAAAAGACTGTGTTCCAAACAAACAAACAAACAAAAAACCTTCCAAAAATAAAACTGTTGCAGTTCCATGTTGTGTCACTAGTTGTGCTGAAATTGCTGATTTTTTAAATTATTGAAAACATTACTTTATTATCAGAATTAGCAATTCTATAATATAACAGAATATAATATATGATCATAAAATTTGCTATATAGACATTAACAATAGAAAAATTGCACACAATTACAAAATAAAACAAATTACACAAGCACAAAAATAAGCTTGATCTACTATTAAAAATGTGCACTTATACAGGCACAACTACATTTTTATACTTTTAGTTGGAATAATACAGTGTGGAATAATATACTTATATTATGTATTAAAATATAATATAATACAATTACTTTATTGTTCTTCTCAAAGTCCTTAATATTTCACAAACTAACTAAACACGACCAGGTGAATGTTTGTTTCTGTTCAGAGACACTCTGGCTGTAGCAAATGAAATGATGGCCCTTTTTCTACCTCTTTAACACTCACGCTCAACTAAACCCACAGAGAAAGCTCTGTTTTCATGGCTGGAGAGGGCATGTAATGTGGCGTGTCATTGCATTAGTGTGCTAGCGCTTGGGCGGTGGGACTGTCTTATGTCTGATGCCTGGGGCTGTATGTGTGTGAGGGTCATTATGGCTTCTGCAGCTGACGAGGATTGGGCTGGATTTGTCAGTTTGGGGTTTAGTGTCAGCCGTGGCTCTTTGGTTTATGTGTGTGTCACACCCGGATTAACATCTGTCTCAGGTAATCTGATCACAAATGGACAATCCTAACTGTGTAAACAGGGGTCCAAACCGCTTTGTTATTGGATCACTCAAACCACATTTAGAGGTAGCTGAAAAATGCATGTGATCACATGGAATTTATAGTGTAAACACTAATGTGTAATGATGCATCCTGGACAACAACAAAAAAGGTAAAGTGTGACCTGATGGAACTTCTTCAAAAGTTTAGTGGCAACAAATACATTTGCATAGAATGGATTGTTTCCAAACAGGTTTCATGAATGTTTTCCACACAGGCAAACAGAGAGTGTCCCAAACTGAAATTTTGAGCTGTCCATTACAGCAACATTGACTCAACCTCAAAAAATCAAGCGTAGCGTTAGTTCTGGCAGGTCACGTTAGTTAAGCTCGCATCAGCTGACTCTCAGCTGATCCCCATCTACCTATAGGAATACGACACCTATCTAAGCATTCATATATAAGGTCCCTCAGTATTATCAGCAGTTTTCACATTGCTCAATAGCTAATTACCCTCCTCCATCCCCAGCTCCTCCTCTGTCAGTCAGGATTCAGCCTTCTGATTCTCCTTTGAATCAGATTAATTCTAAAATGTGTACATAAAATTATTGAACTTTAACGATATCTGCAATACATATATGTTGGTTCTGTTCTGTTTACCCTGGGGGGGGGTTATCGCTGCATGGATGCGCAGGGAGTTCTTGCCCAGAACAGAACCATACCGCCAATCCAAACTGTATGCTAATTGTCAATCATCTTTGACGATAGTGGTCCTGACAGAAACAGAGCAATGTTTGCCACATAGTTAGAAGTCTTTACTTATGAACATTCCAAATTGTGATTAATATCAAATTGAGAATTAATATTAACAAAATACACACTTTTAGCAGATTTACTAAGTGAATGTTTGCTAAAACAGTGTTTCAGGTTTGTGACTTGAAGTGCTCTGCTGTGTGTATGTGCTGTAGTATAGCATAATGTGTGCAGCATAAAAAGATGAGAGATATCTCTGCAGATGGAATCTATAAATCATAAAACATCTGCAAGTGCTTGTCACACACACACACACACACACACACGCACACGCACACACACACACAGCTTCACTGGCAGCAGTTCCTGCTCTTATGTGACTCTCATCAGCCTCTTTCCTGTGAGGAGAGGAAGAGAGAAGAGACACAAATGATACAAATAGAGAAAAAATGGGCAAAGAGCTGAAATGTGACGGCTAGTTTTGTGTTTCTGTTAGCAGCGTTGAAGAGTAACGTATCAAAATATGATGTTTGCTAAAAGTTTATTTTATTTATTGTAATTGTATGTTCAAATTGAATGATGTCACTGAGACTCGAGACCGTTGAGTGCAGGTGTCACGCATTAGCAATTACTCCACCGGCCTCGCTCCGTTCCCACGGCTCTCGGCCCCGCCCCTCACGTCACAGTCACATTAATTGACATTATTTTTAATAATTTTTTTTGCCTTTTACATACTTATGTTTGGAAAAGAAATCAACAGCAAAAAATCAACAACAAAAAGTTTGGGGTCTGTAAGATTTTGTTTTTTAAGAAATTACAATATTTACTCAGCAAGGACACATTAAATTGATCAAAAGTGACATTAAAGACGTTTATAATGGTATTAATTATTGTTCTTTTGACATTACTATTCATCAAAGAATCCAGAAAATTTTTTATCAGACCTTCCACAAAAAAATTAAGCAGCACAACTGTTTTTGACACTTATAATGCTAAAAATAAATGTTTTGTGAGCACCAAATCAGTATATTAGAATGATTTCTGAAGAAAAAATCAGGTTTGCCATAACAGTGAAAAACTTGAATGCTAGTGTGTATATTTTAAAAAACATAACTACATTTAAAGTTGCAAACTACTTTTTATTATTAACTTGTAGTGTAGAAAAACTAAGCTGACTGTAATTCAACTACTTTATTATTAGCTTGTATAATTAGAAGCTACAGTTTCAAAATATCTCCCCCAACACTGTTCTGAAGATAATGTAATCAGCACAGAGCAGCCTTGCTCTGCCCTGTCACACACACACACACACACACACACACACACACACACAGAGTCATAGAGATCCTTGTGTATTTCTGTACAGATGACCATCTCTGTGAGCGCCACATTATCATCCTTAAAATGACCTTAAACACGACCTTTACTGCCTCTCTCTATCCATCTCGCTCGCTGGCTGTCTATCTCTGACCCTTTCATGTCTATCTCTCTGGTGGGTCATTCATTTATGTGCCCTTTGATGAGGGTGGCACATTAAAAACAAGCTCTTTCATGAGAATGACCACAGTAGGAGTCAGAGGCACACGTGCCTGAATGACCAGTCTCTCTCTACGCTGGTGGTCTATGATGCATGGTGATTCACTTCCTGCAGCTCATACGGACTTAAGTGGCATGTGTCTGTGCGTGTGACAGAAAAAGAGAGATGTGCTGAGCTCTTTCCTTTGTTGGATCGATAAGGCCACTGGAGTTTCTTACTCTCGGGTTTCAATCTGTGACCTCTATCGCAGCTACTGCATCACACACACTCTAATACACACACATGCAGAAACATATCAGAGGTCTGTAGTCATTCTGCTGCAACTCCACTCCGGCTTTCATTTCCCACTCTAAGTGTTCTAGTTTTGTCACATCATCACTCGCTTGCTCAGATAGATGGCTGCAGTGGCAAAGAACACACTTTAATTATTGTTTATCTTTCATAAGATTCATTATTCACCAGTGTTATTTTAGTATAATTTATACGATCATGTATTAATATTTTTGAATGAGCATTTTTTTTTTTTACATTTAAATTTTTCAGTTTAATTTTAGTTAATGTTTTAGTAGTTTTAGAAATTGTATGTGCTTTTGTCATTTTAGTAGTTTTACAAATATTTTTAGAAATTTTATGTAACTTTTATGTAACTTTTTAATAGCAATCTAATATTGCTATTTTCTTTTAGCGTTATTTCAATTACTGAAATAATTTTAGTTAATTTAATAGTTTTAGTTTGAGCTAGCAATAACAACACTGATATGCAAAGTTACAATTTATATACACCCCTTTTCCATCCAGAATGTTCATTTTTTGCTGCATAAAAATCTTATTGGTAGTGATGTTCATAACCATTACTTGGGCAACCAGAATATTTACTCAGTGTTGTTCTCATTAAATAAAACTAAAACTAAAACTGCATGAAAACATTTCTGTTAACTAAAATAAAAAAAAATAAAAAAATAACTGGGGAAAAACTGAAACTATACTAAAATACAGTTTCACAAATGGAACTGAAATAAAATACAAATACATTTTAGTTATTGGTATATTATAAAACTACAACTAACTATGATAAAATGAAACCTAAACTAAACTGAAAAGACTAATTTGAAATAAAATTGAAATAAAAACTAAATTAAAAATTCTAAACTAGAACAAAAGCACAAGCATGTATGAAACAAATAGCCCACCCTTTTTTT